AGGTCTCCAATAGTTATCTTATAGTTTTTTTTATCAAGATACAAAGACAGGTGATCAGGTTCTTGTTAGTTGGCTCTCGGCTGTAGATTGACTTGAAGGTAAGTAGTACTAAGTTACGATTTATTTGAAATGCAGATCTAAACTGGAAAATGCAATCCGCTGTGAGGCTGGTCTAGATGGCGGCTGGAATTTTTTTCAAGAGTACCTCATAGGAAGAAGGATAACGATGCACCTGCTCCAACAATGTTGGCAAATGTCTTAGCAAATGCTCCCACTAGCACGAGCACCTGATTGAATGCACTGGTATTACTTACAATGATTTCGAACAACAGAACACATTGAATTGAACTAGGATTCTTTTTTATACAGCAAGCACTTTGGTGTGCATGAAACGTAGTATTTAGAGGTGGTCATTGTTTTCGATCTTGCGCCACGGGCTCATTAAGCATTCCATCCCTCCGGAGTCGGCAAATCGGTACCAGTGTTCTCTGGAAAGATACGAATAATGACTTCATACATCAGCAGGCCATCGCCAGTTATTGCATAAGCCAGATACGAATTCAATCTCCTCAAACGACGCTTGGAACTTTTAGCTTTACAATGAGCAAACTCAATGTGGTAAGGCTCAGAGAAGGGCAAAGCAAGACCTCGATGATGCAGTGGATAAAACATGAGCCCCCGGCGAGGGTAATCGTGCTGGGAACTGGCTTGGGGTTGCGAGTTCTACATAATTTTGCTTGTATTTCACATAATACCATGCCATGAAAAAATAATAGACAGTAAATAAAAAATTAAATAAAGTAAGGTTAAGTGGGGGTACCTGTCTCTGTGGGTAAGATTAGTAGGGAAACATCTCCGTGGAAATGCAGTCTGTCTATACGGTACGTAAAAAGCAAAACATCACTAATTAGGCCTACTACCGCTGTGGACGGCTAGAAATATCTCTTCTAGCAACTACAGCAAGGCAGAAGCTGTAGAACTGCTTCAATAAAGCGATGGCCAATGAAGAACCTCACAAAGAAAGAGTTGCGACTAATGTGCAATAGAAGAACGAAAACTGTGATAGCAATATCAGATAGTCAGGATATCAAATGTTTCTTTATGATTCTCACTTATGTTGACATGAGCAGCAAAATCCGCCTAAGGAGTGGAAACGAGAATCCACATGAGACGTCAGAATAGTTGAAATTCGGTGATCTTAAAGAGTGTCGAGGAGCATTGTCAACGACTAATGCTCTTATAAATAAAATTAGGTGCTTTTCATTATAATATACATACTGCAGGACCGACTTTCTGTTAACCTCCACATGACCAATAGTTCACTGTTTTCTTGATGAGCAAACACCAGGTTGGTATTATAGCATTTATTCACTCACAGTAGACCTTCCCAGGCTCTGAATAAGGTGAACGCACCGAAGCACCGGTTATTGCGAATGGGTAAGTGTTATAATGACTAACTCGTATTTGGTCATTAGTAAATCGGTAGCAAACACGATTTATAGGAGGCTGGAGGCATGTGGATGAGAGATACGGTCCAATGAGCGCGTGGACGCTAGTTCGACCCTCTGCGTGTCGACTAAGTATTTCATCTTTATAATGCAGGCAAATTTATAGAAAATTTGTCTGAAGCTAAGCTGTTCGTCGCGTTAACTCCAGAGCCAGATGCATATTGTTGGAGCATTGGTAGACATTCATTCCGTTGATCATGTATATGAAAAAGCAATAAAGCACTGAGAACCGATCCACTGATCGTGAACAATTTTTTCTTTGGATTCAACCCAGCGTCAGTTTCTCAACATGAGCTGTTGGTAACGACTACTATTTGTTCTAAATAATTTCACATGAAAAATGCTTAATGTTGTACGAATGCACTTTTATAAGAATTATACAAACTTGTTATTCTCAATGATATATGGTGACTATTCTCTAACTTGCAGTGAACCTTCTCGTACCATACGTTCTTTGCATATTGTTCCATATAGCTAGATTCCCAACTGTAGAACGTATTACGGCAGCCGGCTCATGCTGTTGCTCTGCTGATGGCTAGAAAATGCTCATAATGTTTTTGTTTGTCAACACCTCTAGAATCACAAAAATACTCGCCAGGATTTGCCACGGCTACCGTAGAGTCAATATGGATCCGGCATCCTAAGGTCGCCATCATGCTACATTATCATTCCTCTCGTATCTACCAGAAAGTCGTTGTTCTTATTTGTCCTCACTGATCGTCTTTTATCATTTATGTGTTGAACCTGCTCTTATGTCCTCATACACGTACTATACTATACTGCTTGCTATTGTTACTATACACTGTGTATATGTACGATGTATTATTACTAGTTTGTTATTGCTGTGGTGCTTACACACGTAGGCTTAATTGATGAAGTTTAAAGACAACCCTATGTCTACTACAACATTCCCGCGTAACATATCATAAGAAATTGAGTGTTCTATTTTAAGCTGGCTAGTGCGCTTGCGGCTCCATCCGGCTATTCAATATTCCACAGAAGTAAAAAAAAGTGTGGAAGCACTAACAAGTGGACATTATAAGAATGCTATCATAACGAAATTGAAGATGCTGACACTACTGGCCAATGGACTGGATTTTAATCTCTTCCGACCCATTAAAGTTTTCAGATGACGTTCTCGGAAGTGGAGACGAATAATTTTGGCTAAGTGGTATCGCATTGTCGAACCCGTCCTTTGCCATCGAAACCATCTATCAACAACAATGTTAATGTTATTATTATTGTATAATGGTGAAAATTCTTATTATGAAGTATTGTATACACTATGAAGGATCTTGATGCACAGAGAAGGAATGCAGTATGTATCCAGAGCTTCTACTACTGATTCTGCCGCTTTCGTAATTGAAGCAAAAACGAAATGGCTGAGAAGTGAATGTCGACCCACTCCTTTGGTGAATACTATCAATAATTTTGGAGAATGTTTAGATCATACTGTATTGGGGCCTAGTGCTGCGTCTTGCTTCACCATAACTTCGCGTTGCTGCTAGGAATCAGACGGGAGTATCGTTGAACCGTTTTCCTTAACTTTAGATTTAGACACCCTGGACGACACCGTGAACTTACAATCTCCCTATATAAAAACATGTCAGCCTGTTTACTAAAAATAATAAAAAAAGATTCTTACATTATCTTCTCGGTTGTCCTCATGTCCTATTGTGAACGCGAAGGCGACCGCTTTACAGCCACACAGATCGCGTAATTTGCAAAGTTTCAACAACTGCTGTTCCATCTGACGCTTGGGCTGGCACTGCTGCTCTTCTATCCTTGTGACCCTCTTTTATTGCTTTCCTGCAAAGATTTCTAAGTGCGGTCGTGAGCTAGTGCGTGCTCAGGTTTCGCACGTCTTGGGACAGACGTCTTTTGGTGAAGACGTTTTTTCAAGCACGCGACTTCTTTGGTGTCATCAAAGAGTAGTTCGATGCGACAGTCATATTCCTCATCGATGTAGTCAATAAAGACGTCTTTCCAAAAGTATCTTAAAGATATGAACAATTCCCGATTTACTACAGTCTTCATATTTCGTTACCTGGATTTCGCATCTTGCCTTACTATTTGCTAAGAACAGGGAAAAATTAGTGAGTGGTGTAATGTGTTCTAAGGCAGTGACTCTATACTTGATGTTCTCAACCAATTATCAGATCATCAGCGAAAGTTTAGATGAGCGCGTTTTGTACGTGCAGATCTTCATCATAGTCTTTCCAGATTTATGCAGTCTAGAGTGATCCTAAGAGATTAGCACCGTCGCCGTGCTTGTCTCTGTTAAACGCTATTGGGGGCCTAATTGGAGATGGACATCAACGTAAAGGAGAAGCCTGCTGAGCTCTACCGTGGCGACGGGATATAGCCAATATACGTTGCTGTGGGTCCCTAGAGTAAGCAAATTGCTTGGTTGTCGCTTTTTTGAACACCCTCTCCTACACTTGCCAATAACTTAATTTCAGACATTGGGCGAATTAATCTTTAAAGCAAATGCAAATAATCAAAGAAATACACGCAAGATTCGCACACACAGGCATATCAACTAAAACATTCAAGAACATATTGACATGCATGCTGAAAACATATTCCATTCCAACATTACGTAACTTCTCGACTAAAGGACTGGCGATGCTGATCCCTCAATGAGGCAGATCAGTCGGACTTAAAGCGACGGTCAGTAGAACTGCCAGCAAATGATCATGGGCAGCCCGGAAAACACGTTTGGAATTTCCATAATGGACACTTTGTGCTGAAAACCTTGTTGAGAAAGCGGATGTTGTCCATCGCTCTCGAATTTACGTCGATGCCTTTGGAAGTCGCAGATGGTAGCACTCGCTCGACCCAATTTTTCCATGCAACTTTTTCCTGGCCTCCGGCAAGGCATGGTTGATGAACAAGGTATCCTCTGTCGCTTCCGGACCTCATTTATTATCTTTTGCACAACTAGATCCATCCTAACTGCAGATTACCTACAATTCGTCGCAAGCATGTCAACGATGTACTATTTAATTCAGTACAAGCTAAATGTTCTCCAAGAAATAACAAATTATAACAATCGGACGAAGACAAGTGGTACTGAATTTCCTATTTCCGGGTTTCTGGCACTGTTCCTTTCTAACTTACCTTCTTGAATTATAATCACTTGCTATCAGTAACTTATTTCTGGAGTTTCTTATAGCTTTGTAATTTGTCTGAAAATCTGAGCCGGACAAGAAAGCTTGAAAGAGTCATATCACATTTCAACATCTACTATTTGCCTAAGAAAATGATTGCTCGAAGGCTTCTCGTACAGGAAGATAAAACATCCGTTGAGCATCTCTTGGCTCAGTGGTTAGATTACTGTTTCTCAAATAATGTGAGTTATAAAGTGATTCAAACTGATTTATGCGCAGCTCTAAATACCAGTATAAATGAGCATAGTTGGTCACTTTGCGCCACAGTGTTGAAGTTTTCATCAGTATTGTTCCTTGCAAAATAGGCGGCGTGCTCGGACTACTCCTTCTTTTCTTCCTCCTTCTTTTCCTTTCCTTCAGATGCTTCCTCCTAAAAATTATTAGATATGATTGAGTTTTAACGAAGAAAAATACCTTTGGCATTGATGCTGACCAAATGTTAACGGTAGCGCAAAAACACTATGTGATCGACACATCTGTAGGGTCACGAAGCAAATTGAAAATTCTAACACACCAGTGGTTAGGTGATTTGAAACACTGCTCAGTAGCACGATGCCTATTTAGCGTTTGAACCTCAATTCTTTTCTTTTTTCTATCTTTCACTCTATTTTGTCTGGGATTGCATTAGTTAACCAAACTACAAAAAATCGGTAAAATCTTATCTTCGGGGGTTCAGCCTTCGATCCCTCCTTCTTTTCTGCCGGTGGTTCAGCTTTTGAGCCCTCCTTTTTCTCTTCCTATAATTGCGAACTGAGAATAAATCTTACTTTACAGACCTTCTAAGGCATCATTTACATTTTCACTAAATGGTAGATGATTGTAAATAATGGTACTATCATTCTGATTAGAGAAGAAAACATTGTAATGATTAACCTGGGTGGGGATTAAACAATGACTTCGCACGAATAACAATATGCAACAATAAAGGAAATCTAGCCCAATCCATCACTGAAGTTACTGTAAGTTTTTCTATACCCAAGCCCATATCAATTGAAATATAAGATCATCTTCATGAAAATCTCCTAAAAAAGTCGAAAATTCTGAAAAGCCTTAAGACTACCTCCTTCTTCTCTTCGCCTTCCTTCTTTTCATCCTTCTTCTCATCTTTCTTCTCATCTTTCTTCTCGTCCTTTTTCTCATCGCTTTCTTTCTTTTCATCCTTCTTTTCAGGTGCTTCTTGCTTACTCTTTGCTTCATCCTAGAGGTAAACACGTTATAATTCTTGACACAAGAAATGTTAGTGCATGTGAAACAGAAAACTTCCAGAAACATAGATATAGCCACAACATAGATCTGATACAGTTCAGTTATACTTTAGTATTAATTGTTATTCAAACCTGTGGCGATCTAGCCTATAAGTACAAGTACAGTAGCATTATTTGAGTAATAGTGTATAATTAAGAGATGAGCACCTTCTTATCCTCTTTGGCCTTTGGCGCACCTGCAGGTGCTCCGGGTTTGTTCATCACAGAAGCCGACCCTCCTTTTTTCCTAAAGTAAAACGGATAATACCAAACATAAAAAGAGTACCTTTCGCATACAAACATGCCGTACCCTCGTTGTATATGACGTGTTTAAAAACACTCACACTTCCTTCTTTCCGCCGCATTTTGCCGAGGAATGGCCGATCACAAGAACAACTACGATAAAATACAGCAGTTCGAACGTCATACTTGCGCTAGCAAGTATCCGGTTAGTAGGAATGAAGCACCACCTGCACTCTATCATCTTATAAAGAGCAAGAAATGCTATTATCACTTGATAGTTTTTATTGTATGTAGCAGGTTTGCATTTGGTCGGTTGTACTAATTGAACTTACGACATCTTCCCTTCTATGAGGTTCTTATGCAGTTACCTTCGATTAGACAGGTGAACCTAAAATAGAATAAGCGACTTAAGATTTAAGAAGCCAGTAGGGTTTCAGTATAAATTTCGAACCAGTGTCAATTTGAGCTCTTAAACGCCGTCAAAGAAATTTTACTAACATATTTATCTACTCGCTATCATTGACATCTTCCTAGACCATGTTATGGAAGCTATAATACTTCTAACATGATTCTTTGTCTTGCGATGGTTATTTGTAGCAATGATTAGGAACTCCCACGACCGACTTTCTATTAACCTCGGCATTGATCAAGTAATTCTTCGTATTTTTGTTGAGCAAACGCGAGGTGTTATTATTCTTTATTCACAAATGAGCTGGAGACCTCATAGAAAGCGGTGAGTGTGCAAAGCTGTGTTCAATGTGATTGAAATCTTGGTTTAGAGTTTCTTTGTTTGGTTATGGAGGCGTCTGGCCAAGTAGATTGCTGTCAACTTGACCTTTCCAGGCTCTGAGGAAGGCGAAATCCGCCGAAACGTCAGCTCATTTGTGAATAAAGAATAATAACACCTCGCGTTTGCTCAACAAAAATACGAAGAAGCAATGATTAGGATAATTGCGCTCGGTTGCATGAAAATGAACGGAAATTATGGTGGGACAGGAACAATCAGTGACGGCAGGTCATCCTAATTTCCAAACAAGTAACTTTAGGCTGATATGTGGTTTCAGTCCCAGTTTTCGTTTGCTCGTCTTTTCTACATAGATGCCGAGTTTTAGTTGAGCATGTTTTCCATGAAATCCCGAGGCACTTGTTCTTGACATTTCCCAGGTTTTCATCACACGCTGAAATGGCAAGCCATTATGAATGATGCAGATTTTTGCAGTCATGTGATAAATATTCTTTCACGACAGAATCGATTTCTTTCGTCAGTCGACCGAACAATCGATTACGACATAACAAAATGAGTTAGTAAGTTAAATTATAAATCGTAGACATAAATTATGCATGAATGAATAATTTTCGACATGATTTAGCTGACACGAGGTTGATACAAAAACATTTACTCGAGTAAGGTTTCTACTCTTTCTCCTTCTTCAGAGCAGCGTTGATCCGATACCTAGTGGCTACTTTCCTTCCTCTGGAAGAAACGAGTTTCCATGGAAGAGGCGTGCTACAGGCAGAAATCCTGGAAAATAGATTCCATTCTCATTTCTTTTTCCTAGTCCAAATTTTCCATCCCTGTATTCGTTCTTGCAGGTCTTTCCTGTTCTGGAGTCAGGTCTCCGACAACAAATTTATAATACGCTTTATCATTGCAGTTAACTTTCTCCAACTCATAGTAGAATGCATCTAATTCATATTCATCATCTGCATTCTGCATTATCCCTGGGTACCAGTTGATGATAGTGATCATCCTAAAGGGGTCTTCCTTAATTAGTAACGCTAGGCAGCCGCACGAGAGAAGGGAATGTGGTACGAGTCGATGAGATGGACACTGGACAGGAGGAGCGAAAAAGCCGACGCCAGCAACATTTTCTGATTGTTTCTGCACGAATGATAAGGATCCCGTTGTATAGGTGATGAATGCCAATTTTTTTGCTTTTTATTCTTTGTAGAGTAATCACATGGAATTTCTGTGTCACCTTCGTAGTAACATAGCAGTGATTTTTCATTATCGTTATTGCTTATTTTCGAAAAAATGTAAATGGTTTTCTAAGCTGAGAACGTGTTCGACGTTTTCATCCGGAAACATCATTGGGAGTAAAGTAATTCCACGAATCACTGCCGTATTAGTATCAAACTAATCGTATGTGTAAATCTCCTTCTGATAGACAATGGTGACGACTGCCTGATGCGGTAAGGACCTGAGAAAGGTTTTGACCAGCGTTACGTCAGGACTCGAGGGAACCAAATTGGCTAAACCAACAAAACTCCAGCCTCAGTGCCCCATAAACTGATCGCTCGTCTATTACGTTAGGCAGTCAGACAACCGGTAAAGGGCGATCAAATGTCGGGTTGCAGAGGACATCATTGGAAACTGACAAAGCAAGCACGCCGACGACATGCCACGAAGACTTCTAATTGCTGTGAAAAAAATAACGCCAGAACATTCTTTTCAGACGGCGACCTTTACACTCTTCTCGAGTCGCCTGGTCGTATCAAATTCTATTTAACCACCTTGTAAGAGATGAAAAGCAGAAAAACCGACATAGGTCATTTACATGAAGGAACTTCTGTCATCCATGTAGAAAATTACTGCCGTGAAATGCTGGAGGCAAGTTGTTCGTACACCCATCTATTTCGCATCCAGGCACCTCGTACGAAATCGTATCACCGCGCTTGGCGATATATGGTCCCTAGCTTATTCGTGAGAAGAAAGTCAGCATCATCAACTGTTGCTCACCAATTTTTACAGCTGATGAGAGTAAACGACATGTGTTCTACAAACAGCTGAAAGAAGTAGTCCATAACGAAAGGAATTTCTATAAATTTGTTGTTGAAGACTTCAACGCCAAAATTTCCACGGCCACGAAAATAAATACAGGATAGGAAAATTCGAATGGTCTCGCATGGCTCCTTTCCGTAGGATTTCTTTTGCATGACATGGATATTCTAAATAAACTCGTGTACGACCGGAATATCTTGAGTAAAATTTTCTTCTAACATAACTGGCAGATAAAGAGGGAAGCGATTTTGCTAAATTCGCCTCAATTCTTCAAAGAAGAAGTTTAGACTAGATCCTCATTAGCACTAAGCCCGAAAAGAGAAAGATACTGAGGCTTGATCCTACTGCAACGCACCTAATGTTGGTAATAATAAATTCCGGATGTGTAAGATTTTTGCAGGACTTAAATCGGTATAGTTAAAAAATGTTGTAAAAAGCCACCCGGGAATAACGTCTGAAGTTTGAGTTATGCTTGAAAGCATGAAGAGGACCGCTAACATCTCCACCAATTCGCTCCGAGCTGGTTACCACAAAATACTTGCACTTATTGCAACTCATATGATACCTTGCCTTCAGAAACAGAAAATCCCAAACCAGTGAAGGACCTCGTTCACGGTTACCCTACACGAGAAAGATACCGGAGTGATTTTCGTAACTACCATTTTATGTGCCTGTTGAGTGTGCTCCACAAGCCGTTCACGAAGATTATTCTTTTGCGGACAATTTAGTTCTTTAATAAGGCAAAACCGGTTAAGTAAACAGAATTTGGGTAGAAAATCTGCTGCATGGACCACATATAAATCGGACCACGGGTCATAGAAGTCTGTCGGGAACACCATCTGCCCCTTGTACTCAGCTTTATCGACTACAAGAAAAGTTTGACCACATCGCAAGTTACGAAATCCTATCCACGTTCGTGGGCTAAGCAGTGGACCCGTCTTTTATATAGATACCAGTCGAGTGTTAACGGAACTAGAGCACAACTAAAACACCTTTTCATAGTGCCCTCACCAACTCCTTAGAAAGAGGAGTTCGGCAAGGTTACGCTGCATCTCTAAAGCACTGTTTACTACAGCACCGCAGTAGAGGGTGAAATCACTCGATTGGGATGAGAAAGGCATACGTACTGATAAAAAATTCATATCACACCTTCGTTTCGTCGACGACATCGTCATCTTGTCAAGAAGCACCGGCGATGCACAGACGATGACGAGCTTAACTAAGCGAGAACAGGATACGGACTATGCATAAATCGGGAAAATGCCTAGTTCATAAAAAACCCATAGTGTGAAGGCGAACAAATCGAACTGGATGGTTCTTTGATTTCAGAGACCTCAAGTGTGTAAGTTGGACGTCCAATGAATATGGATAACAACATGAAGTAGGATTTAAAAAGAAGAAAGCAGCATGGGCAGAGTTAGAGTCTCTCAATGAAACCACCGACAGACTGGGGGACCTGGAAATCCGCGCTCACTATCACCATTTCGATTCAACACCTTCCCTGCCACCCAGTGCTTTGCTATGCAGCACAGACGTGGACTGATTGCATCAACGTTCTTAAGAATACAGCGTACTAATTACAGAGCGCTTAATAAACGTCTTCAGTAATATTGTCAAGAAGCACACATGTGGCGCACACAATATCTAGTTGAAATGGCGAAGCTCTGATCATTGCAATCTATCTCATTTTCGAGACCCAACAAAACAGACATCGTCAGCGAAAAATGCAATAGCCACTCATGTAATGAGAAAAACAGATAATACATGGAGGAAAAAATTGTAAAGTGAATTTTGCGAAGGCAGAGGCGTCCTCTAGGACAACCAGCTACACGGTGGGTGAACGTGTTAATAACCAAACTCAATCAGCTTAGCTTCAAGCTGCAATTGTTTTACAGATCACGGCATGAGACTCGCACCCACCACCATTCTTGGATCAAACCATCAACATGTACGACGCTTGCGAAGCAGTGAAACGAATGGAAAATATGGCCGGTACGAAAAACTCGTTAAAACGGACTTTCCAAGTAAGTTAATAATTAAGGCAAGCTGGAAGTGTGGTAGTACTATGGTGAATCACATATGGACTGAAGAGTCACGGATGTATAATTGTCGTTCTCACACTACCTTCCGGTCTTTTTAAATTGAACACACTTTTTTCTATAACACACTTAAAGATGTATAAAGATGATTAAACAAAAGAATGGGGAAAGTGCAGTGATTAGTGATCTCGTCGATCAAGAAAGAAAGGCTCTATTTCGATCCCGACACCAGTCCTCTCCACCAATCCACGAGGGAACGCCCTGGCACGGATATCTCCAAGACTGCACGAAGAATCGACACAACCAGCACGATAGGACATTCATGAAGACGAATTCCTCAAGCAGCAACTGAAACAACACACGGAATATCCGAAGACCTTAGTAGGCGATGAATGCGAAGAAAACAAACCGACTGCAAGA